CTACGATCAATGCTGCATCTTGATAAATAGTGTTCCAATGTATGCTCTCACTGTGCAGGGCTTTTGCTATTGCCTCTGCTCCGAAGTGTCCGAATACATGTGTTTTTCCAATAGATTTGTTCTTTCTTCAATTGGCGGTTCTAACATATCTTTGTACGGTGATTCTCTGTTGGTTAAGACCTTTTGAGCTGTTGTTTTATCCAGCATTCTTTTCAACATATAGTTCGGTTTCTGTTGTGCTTTGTAATCAGTTCTAGCAGCTGCAGCTCTAGTTACTGCTCTTTGTAATATTGTTGCTGGTTTAGATTGTTCTAAGCTTAGCTGATCCTCATCACTCCCTTCCAGCTCTTTATCTGTCAGAAAAAGGCGTGATAACTGGTCAGGTAAGATGTTGGCTAAACCAGGTAGATGTACAATATCGAAGTCATATTCGAGAAGTGTGTCAAACCAACCAATCATCATTGCATTGGCTATTTTTTATGTATGCAAAAAAGTGAGGGTGCGATGGTCTGTTAATAGGGTAAATTTGGAACGCCAGATCCATTTATGCCATCGTCGTAAAGCTACAACGCAAGCTAGCAGTTCTCTGCGTGTTACACTATAATTCCTTTCTGATTTAGAAAGTGCTCGTGTAGCAAACCCAATATGACGAGTTTTGCCATCAATTATTTGATATAAAGCACTGCCAATGCCCACATTGGAAGCATCAGTGGCTAGATAAAATGGCTGGCTCATGTCTGGATAACGTAAAATGGTGCTTGTAAAAGTATTTTGCATAAGGTATTAAACGCATTTTGATGCTTATAATTCCATAGACATACAATGGATCCAGCATTATGAAGTGCATCCAAAGGTGCAGTTATGTGTGATATATTAGGGATATGGTCCCTAAAATAATTCACAACACCTAGAAACCGTTGTATATCTTTGCCCGTTCTAGGTATAGGCTATTCGTGCATATTACTTTGCATGTGTCTAGTGTAACACCTTGATCGGAAACGCAAAATCCCAAAAGATAAACAGATCTTTGAGTAAAATGGCATTTGTCGGGGTTTAAGATGAGATTGACCTTGGTCAATGCTTCAATAGCTTGTGCCACATATTCGCGATGTTCTTCCAAGCTCTTGGAGAAGACAACAACATTGTCCACAAAGCAGTTCACGTGCTCTTGCTGCTGGCTATACACCAGATGCATCACGCGCTAGTACTTATTGCTCAAGGGCTTTAATCCGAACGGAGCTCTGGCAAAAGACCATTGACGGTTTTGGAAAGTAAAAGAAGTCTTATGACGATCATCAGGATGTATCTGAAATCGGTGAAATGCATTTTTCAAATCGAGCGTTGTGAATACAGTTGCTCCTTTCATTTTATGAAATATATCTCGGATGAGAGGTAGAGGATAACGATCATCCGGTAGTAGCTTATTGATATGCCTTGGATCTAAGCAAGGTCGCTTGCCAATGTATTTGCCATTGGCATCCTTTTTTGGAGCTAAAGTCAAGGGACTATTCCATGCGGTATTTACCTGTGCTGGCTCAATAGTGCCATCTTCTGCCCACTTTCGAATTTGCTCTTCTATTATTTTTTCTGAAGCCACAGGTAGATCATATTGTCTTCTATAGGAAGTAGCACCTGGTGGTGTTGGTAGTTCAAAAATTGATTCTGGTACTGTGCAGAATGATGTTTTCGGAATTGCCGCATTGGCGTCCAAATAGCATTGGATGGAGTTTGAAAAAGCTTTGTGCTCACTTGGTGATCCCGCTGGAGAATCATTGGGTTTGATTTCGTCGGAAATACTGGAATGAGACTCTTCATTACTTATGGGCTTGTTCCAGTGAGAAACCGGACGTGTAATACCAATGCCTAGCTTCGTCATCAAATCTAAACCAATAGTCACTTGTGTATCTTCAGAAAGAGACATGACTTCAAAGGTATGTATAACCATTTTGTTATTGTATTGGATTTTTATGTTGTTAACACTACCTTCTCGAGGTATGGTTACATCTTTTATATCAAGAATAATATGACCATCATTTTCAGGTGCTACAATTTCTAAGCTTAATTTGTTTACTAAACTTTTGTCTATGGATGATTTGTCTGCTCCAGTATCGAGGAGTGCCATCACTGGTCTATTTTGCAAGACAATGGGTACCATAATAGACAATTGATTATTATCTTGCTGTGAATTAGTATGCTGCAGTTTTTTCTACTTACCCTTTTTATCTTTGGGATCAAGTTCATTTTCATTGATCGAAAGATATCTTGTTTGTTTTTCAATACGACTCATTCGAGCGCGCATTGTTCTGGTGGCTCTGGCCTCACGCATTTCGGGGCACTTGTGACCAAATTTGAATTGCACTTTCTTGCATTCTTTGCAAGGATTGGTTATAGGAGCACGTGTTTCGCCTATGTAACGGGACTTTTTGGAAACAAAGTTGCTGGCTTTGTTTTTCTTTCTCTTCTTGTTGTAATCCTCACTTTCTTCGGAGTCCTGGTCAGAACCAGTTGCAAGTTCACCCTCGGCAAGAGTCAAGACTGCTTGTATAACAGCGTCCAATGTGCTGGGAAACTGTAAGCCAAAATGGTTTGCAGCAACGTTCTACGCACGCTGGCGGTACTTCTTACTCAAAGAAGATAGGAAACCATATCCTAACTCTTCGTTGTCAGGTATTCCAGATGAGCAAGCGAGTTCCAAGTATCGATTTGCGTATTCTCGTAACGCCTCATTGCTGTTTTGGGTTAATGTGCGCATCTTGTAGCGTCGGTAGTAAACTTGGTATAGAGAAGAAAACGCACGACAAAAGTCTTCTCGAAACTTGGTCCAATTTATGTCATGCCGTTGCATGGTTTTGACTAACCAAGCACGTCTTGTGGCATCACAAGTCAAAGGCATCAACCTTTTCCAATGCTTTTCGACATTGATCGAATGTGCTTCTAACACATAAGCAAAGTCATCCAAGAACTGCTCAGGCGAGTCATAAGACTTCCCTTTAGCAAACTTGCACCCCAGACCCAAATTATTTGCCCATATTCGGACGCCGTACGGGCCTCTACAAGCTCTACGGAACATACCCTGTGGCCTCTGTGGTGTCACGCCGTGCACACCATAGAAATTATAGTATGCTCAGCCTACCATAGCACCAGCTTTCTCCCTTCTTTTTCTCAGAATAATTCTCACTACATTGCGTCCTCCATTTCGACAATGAGCAACCAGGAGCCCCAACCAGAGCATCTTTTTCCGGTAGCATACAGTATTATATATATGTATCTGATTTAAATAATGAGGATTAACGCTCAACGCAGTATTGAGAAAATAAGTAACAGAATAGGTGCTTATTACACATAATAAAAAATCATATTCGCATAACAGGTCTAATAACATACAATGTATAAGTAAGCATAATAAGGATTATAAAAGAGCTCTTGATTTACAACGGCGTATATACATTGCTGGCTCTATAGTGTTTCTTCTGAAAGTACTGCATCTGGCAGAGAAATATCTTCGTCAGGCATAGTATAATCTACTGGCGGCATATACTTGTACATCAGCTCGTCATGTTCCTTCTCAATATCCTCATATGTCTCAGCATGGACAAAGTAAACGTCTTCGTCATATTCATCGTCCGCATCGTCACCGTATTGTTCGTCGTTGTCGATCTGTGAAATTTCACCAACAGTACGCGGTTTGCTGCTTCTGATATTACATTGGAGACGTTCAGCTTGTTCCAAAAGATCACCAAGAATAGCTTGCCACCCATCGTCATGCGTCGCCTCTATGACATCTTGAATGGCGCTATAACGTGCTGCAGCGTATGCTTCCAGATTCTTTTCTTCGTCCTAAGTGGAAAGTTGAGATCACAGTATGGAGTTTCAATGAAGTACCATAACATTAACCTCGATCATTATCAGCTCTTCCTCGGCGCGCTTAATGTTCATAATCTCTCTGAGAACGTCGACGTCGTTGCTTTCTGCTATATGGTGCTGTTCCCAAATTCGTGTCTCCAGATGACAGACATCCTCCCACTGGACTTCAGGCTCCAACAACAGATGGCAAGCAGCATTGTATAGCTTCAATTGCTTTTCAGCTGCAGTGCTTAGTTTCTTAATTGCGCTTCTAACTTTCATGCTTACTCTTTCGCCTGTTTCATAATTAATTAATTAATTAATTATATCCATCAGCAGCGCTTTCTCATTTTTACACTTCAAAAAACAGATATACAATACCTATTTTGCCCTCTCGATTACGCAGCTGATCATACATCATCTTACGCGAGATTTTATGTGATTTTAGTTTATACAGGCTATCTTCCTTTTCTCGCTTTGCTTTTGCTTCTTTTGCGCTTGCGTATTCTGTGCTATTTATCTGCCATCTTCGTTCAGGCTTTAGCACCCTTTCAAATTCTGGTAACATTGTATTCAGCGATCTCGAGCTTTCTTGGGAGCTTTCGAAGCAATCTAAATTTCTCGTCTATTGATGATAACAATAGCTTAATACGCATAAACGAAAGGGAGTAGAAGTCGTTATACATACCTGCTTCCGCCATAGTCATATTGGCACATTCATCTGGATCTTGAAGCTCCCTCGATAAAGTAATGCGCTCCGCTCTAATGATGTTTTCTGAATGGATTAGTTGTCTAAGTATTTTACAGTACTCTACAAAAACACTTTGTAAACTCACTCAACCGCGTAAAAATGTTCTAGTTCTTCATAATACTGTATTTTTACTGATAGAGGTTTGACACCAGTGAATATAGTACGATCTTTCGATTTTTTATGGACGGTATCTTTGTACGTCTTCCATTCTTCTTCGAATCTGAGCTCATCTATCTTCCCGTCCTCGTTCCACCACCAGCATGGCGTACCGCCGGAAGCTACAAGGGTAGCTCTGTGTCGCAAGTATGCAGACGCTTGTTCGATGATTGCCTTTGCCCTTTTCGTCCATTTTTTAAGCGCGTAACCTATCGGTACTATTATGAGTATCACGCAATCATTTATAACTTCATTTAAAATCATGCATACACATATTGATTATAGTCTTGGCTTTCGAATGACCAATCGCATGCTGTAAAACGAACAGACGTCTCTTAGCGCTCATTTGTCTAGTCATTGAGACAAATCCTCCAAGGTAGGACCAAAGACGCTCAAGTCCTTCTCCATCTGTCAGTCCAAAGCCGCTTATGAATCGTGGATGATAATCGACCTGGCAAGACATTGAATGGGCGTATGCATGGAAAACGGAGACGGCCATCCGTGATCCAGCTTGAGCAAAATTGGGAAATGCTTTCTAATGGTGCATAAGTAATTAAAGATCAATTTGTTTACCGGATGCGATGATATTCTTAGACACGGCAAAATACCTTAAATGATGGTTCAAAGCGACAACCAAGATCATACAAAATATTGACATCTTTGTATCCCTTAGTGGCAACAGCAAGCACAGATAGAGCATATTTGTACCTATACAAAGCTCAATATGTAAGTGCATATTGTACGCTAGGGATTATAGACTGCATGCATGTAAAAAGTATTAAAATTACTTTTCACCAGAAGCAAAGATATTCGTAAACTGAAGTGGAACATTGTGTCTGCCGCATACACAGCCTACTATTCCACTTTCATAGAACTTCTCGACAGCAGCAGAAACGGACGTAACAGCTTTGAGCTCACTCTCGCAACGCTTATTGACGGCATTGGTGACTTCATGCTTTTCGTAAACGTCATGCATGTTATCAGCCGAGAAAAACGTCGCTGCTTCAGCTTTTTTTGTGTCATTTGCATGTGCTTTGCGTCGTCGCAATTGCATGTTGCCATCGACTGCGACGAACAGTTTTCCTTCCTGTGTAAATTGTATATTGAGTCATTAGCTCATCAAAATATCATGACTGCACTAAATTATAAAACGAGAAGGAGACCTTGGGACAAGCCGGACACGCATCTCGCTCCATTGGAGTAATATTGCTGAACTCGTTAACCATTTCATCCGTCACTTTTTCTCTCAGCTCCATGTATGCTGTATGTGCATTTCCTAAAGTCTTTCGAATTCTATCAGGATTCTTTATTCCATAAAATTCAAATGTATATATAATACATTAGAATAACTGTTATGATAAGTGATTTCGCTCCATTGTGTTATCATCTGATTATTCTATTAGCAGTAACAGTATCTCAAACTTGTGCACATAAGAGCAAGCATTTCCAAAGGCTTGTGCTGCTAAATGACCTTCTGCCAAAAGCGTAGAATAGAAATCAAGCAATGGGAGATGAAATGCTGTCCTCGGCGAGGCGGGAGATGACGGAAACAAGTGATGGTAAAGCAAGGTTGAGGCGTCTGATTTACAATCACAGAATGGTATTTTATAACTTTTAATGCCTGTTTCGTATGTTTTGGACGGCATTTATAGGAATGTTTTAGCAGTTGTCCATATCACAGTATGTTTGGTAATTATTAATGCAACGTAAATGCGTTACCGGTAATGAAAACGCAAAGGATCTCCCGTTCCTTTGTTTTATCGCATGTAGTGCAGCGCGCGTCGAAAAACGGAGTCGTATCGGCCAGACTTTAGTCGCTACTTCCCCTGCACTTTACATAGTCTTTCGGTAGCACCTTAAAAGCCTCAGACCAGTTTTCATCAAGAGCTTCCAATTTCCTTTTATGTTCTTCGATGTCATGGTCATTCAGACGAAACACTGCCAAGCCTTCATTAAAAGCGCTACCAGGACCGTCATAGTTGAGATCATCGGTTTCTCCGTGATCTTCGCGTTACAAAGTATATGTTATAATAAGCAAAGATTTAGTGTGCTTATATGCGAATCAGTTACCTAATTGATCATGCTGTGAATTTTGACGCGTATCTCTTATAGTGGGAGCAGAAGCTACAACTGCATCGTCACCAGCATACACTTTGCGGCTTTTCGTTCTCGTTCTCCCATCGCTCAACATCGTGGATTCCACTAGGTCCATGGCGTCGTCTTCGTTGAACCGATCGTTAAAACTCATGACCTAGTGCTAATAAGATGGTGCGGTCTGTTGTTTGTTACGTTGTAGCTAAGAACCTTCAAAAGATAATTTTTCATTTCAGTTCTCTATATTTATATTGCAACACATATTAAGTTGATCACTTCTGTTTATTGCTCAGTAAACGTGCAACTTGACAAAAAAGTACCACGCGCTTGAGGAAAGCTTCTTTTCCTGTAATTTTTTATGACGATCCCCTAATCCACAATTTATTTTGTACACAGAAGTACGTTATGTAATAGGGTAAAAATGCTCGGATGCTAGGAACTGTTTCAAATTTCCTTGCTTTCTAAGAGTATTACTGTGGTCATTTCCAAATTGCATGAAGAAATCCTCCTAATAATTTCATCATTCTCGCTCCACCTCTACCCATCTACCACCACACCATCTAACTCTTTTTGTTCTATGCGGTTTTTTTTCAGTTATGGCCTCATATTCTTTGTATATGTATAGTATCCTTGTCCATGTCAAGGAACGACCACATGTCCCCTAGCGCAGATCACTCTGTCTTCCACAGTAAAATCATGATCTGTAATTTAATAAATGAACTAACATACCTATTGGATGCTAATGTCGCTTTTATCAATAGCAACTTTTTAAAATGTGCTAAACCATTTATTTGAAACTTTTCAAAACTAATTTGGCCATTGATAAGGGCATCATACAGCTCTGACCATCTCTTATACGGCATGTCACTCGGGCACAAAGCAGTATCTGCCTTTTCGCCAAAATCAAAACCCGTGAATTCGCACCCCAATGTTTCATTTCTGTAGCGAATTATGCCACCGTCTGACACCCTCTTGAAACCTTTCCACGAAACTTTGTCAAATTTTTGTCAACTTCGTTGTCTATATACATTCCTTAACAAGTATTAATACATTGATAACTGCAATGCAGACACTGCTTGTAACATACTACAGAGTTCAACCATGAGGTCCTTAACCATGCTTTTCTTTTTAGTAGGCTTTCTGGTCAAACGAGGGCCTGGCGAAAACGAATAATATACATTAGTAGCTCCTTTTAACAATGCTATGGTGTGTTAGCGATAGTTACCGCCTGTTGTTCCTATAGTGACAGATTGTTGTTAAGAAAAGCCAATAAATAGATAATCCTTTTTCTCAATAACGTGTTACTATCACAGTGTAGTATTAACCTTGACAATGTCGATGGAAGTTTGGACGCCCTCCCATCTTATTCAATGCATTCTGAGCTTTCTCTTAATAGTTGGTATTAGAACCTTGAATATGAGCATTTCTAAGAAACAGATTTACTACTTTACATACTAGATGAGACTATAGGTGCAGTAAGCATCCAATCGGTCTCAAACTGGGGAGACATGAGCGTGCCGACATTCCATCCCATGGCCACGCTAGCACGGTGGTTAACCGACATGATCTCACGACTGAAAGCTCTCCCAAGCTGCTGACAAACATCTAGATCCATAGGAGTTGGTTGCTCCATCATATGGTTTATGCGCTTGACCTTCTCTTCAAGCTTTTTCTGGTGCTCCTCGTTCATGCGAGCACAGTTCGCAGACAGTTGAGCAGTTGTCGTTGTCAACTCTCCATCGTTATACTGTCTGATAATATCTTCCCATTCTATATACTAGATAAGTAAAAATTCCCATTTTACCTATATACAAAATAGCAAACCTTCTCGCTCTTCGTCAGTGCTACTTTGAGAAAGGAAGTGAGTTAATGCGTCCAAGTGGACCACTTTTTGGTTCCCTTAGGACGGTAATATTTGTCGCTGGAAGCATTTGACTGCTTTGGTTGGGGTTCCTGGTTGCTCATTGTCGAAATGGAGGACGCAATGTAGTGAGAAAAAGAAGGTGCTATGGTAGGCTGAGCATACTATAATTTCTACGGTGTGCACGGCGTGACACCGCAGAGGCCACAGGGTATGTTCCGTAGAGCTTGTAGAGGCCCGTACGGCGTCCGAATATGGGCAAATAATTTGGGTCTGGGGTGCAAACTTGGTGTGTCCTCGGATGTTGAACACGGGTAAGTTCTTAGGAACCAAATGTGCTACTTTGGCATCATCTAGTGTCTTGTCCGAAAGAGCTTTCATTGTGTTTAGCCTTTCTTTCCAGTTTTCATAGTCGCTTTTAGCGGCTAAGAAAACTTGTTGGTCAGGACAAGTAACCAGGCTCTGCAGGTATGCCTCTTTAAGATGAACTTGCTGTTCCAAGTAGGTACGAACTACTTTCAGGTCAGCGTCTGGACCCAGTTGGTCAGGCTTGATAAGGTCAGCACTGTCCTGTTGGTCAGGTGTCCAAGGGTTACTGCTTGGGTTTTCCTCAAGCTGTTCGTGGTGTTGAACTTGGTTAACATCCATAGCGACAGAAGACTGAGCTTCCATATAGGGGATAATGGGACCTGAATAATTCCCAGTGTTTGATTGGAAAGTAGTAGTGTCCATAGTGATGATTGCGGTTCCATAATTCAAACGAAAAAATGTGGTAAATCGAAATAAACAAAGACAAATAAGTCGTTTGAGAATGGATTATATTCAAAAAGATTGAACAAAGTGCAATATCAGCTATAGAAACTATCTTCTTTTATATCTAACTTTCAAACATTGTTTGAGAACTCGGTCTTAATGGAGAAACAGATCTGAAGGTGGAAAGCTTATCAACTTCTTTGTCAGCAAGGACCTTACTGGTGCTTTGCTGTAAGAACGAATAAAAACTTTTATGATGGTTTGAGATGTGTTCTTAGACAGTTGTTCCATACTTAGTTTCTTTACTGAGTTATATGAAGGATTCACATTTCAATCCAGCTAGGTGCATATGCGCAACCGTGTCCCTTATTGGATCCTGGTGCGGTAAAGAGAAACCTTCTATTAAGACATCTGTCTGTACTGGATCTTAGTTTACCACATCTGTAATCATGGGTGGTTCTGGAAGCAGACGAAGACAGCTTAATGGCACTCCTACCCAAAGTCGAAACAGAAACAGAGATTTCGCTCTGACCGAGTTGTCTCTACAGAACGATGCTGAACCTGCTGCAGCGACTGTCGAAAACGATGGAGGTCTGGCTTACAAAGAGGCCAGAGATCGCGCTGCCCTCGAGACGTTTAGGCTGGCTCGTGAAAGCTGCCCTGCAAACATCATTAATCAGTACTCGAACCGTCAAAAAGAGTTCAAAGAATGGTGTATCAAGATAGGTGTGAGTCCCATCCCTGACGATGGAGAACTTCACCTTTTTTTGAAAGAAGAGGTTGGTTCTCTTTGTTCACGATAAATACGTAGAGATAAATGAACATAATTTTATTGATCATAACTTTCTATAAGGTTGCTTTCCGAGCTCACCGAAAGCGAGGAAAAAAAAGAGCTGCGCCGGAGGACGTTCATGAGCCTGAAGTGGGACCTTCACCTGTACTTGCTGCCGCGAATAGCTTGTCTGACGGCATTATGGAGCTCAACACACTGCCCAATGTTGATACAGCTTACGAAGTGATGGACATGATGGACACTATGGACGAGGCCAGAGAAGCATCAACAGACGCTTCTACTATCGGCACCACCATCAACACAACTAGTACTACCACGGCCATAACCACCAATAGCACTACTGCTGCCGCCTCCTCCTCCTCCTCTACTACCGAGCCGCTCATTAATCCAAAATTCGCAGCGTATGCTCAACTTGCTGCAGGCGTCTCTGGAAAGAGGGTGCAATACACAACCGTCGAAGCATATGCTGCTGCAATTGTCGACCTATGGGCCGAACAATGCTTAGTCGACAACACTTTCTGCCCGAGCCCTCGTGGAAAACGTGTTAAAGCGTTACTCGACTGGTTGCGCAGAGAGGATCAGAAGATTGCTCACGCCAATTTCGATTGTTCGTTTGCATGTTGGTGTATATTTCTGGCTGATAACAACTGGCCCAACGTTCGACAGCTACTCCATTCAAGGCCCTGATCCAATACTGGTCAAAATAGTCATGGAATAGGCGATGGTTGTGCCGAGTGTAACCAAGAAAGTCTTCCAGTAGGTCTCTGAAGCGCGCCTGGTTTGGCTCATACATAAGAGCACCCAGACGTTCACGAATATTCTTCTTGGCCCTCGCGCTAGTCACCTTTTCTTTGACATTCTCTGTCCAAGCACGCATAACGTGCCAAAGGCAGTGTTGAATGCTGCAAGTTGGCCATACCTCGGTAATCGCGTTATCCTCAGCAAGATCACGATCGATTGTTATACGTTGAGGATTCAAACCAAGAGAAGCAAGGAAATGGAACCAAACAAGAAGGGGGAGAGATGACTTATCATCAGCTATGAGATAAGTGACAGGAACGCCACGACCAGCAAGAGGATGGCGGATAACTATCGTGTATAGAACACCATTTGCATATCGCGACACATCATGAGTCGCATCCAGACATATGAAGCCGCCACTTCTGCTAAGCAACAATGCTTTCTGCCAAGGAGCCAAGAAGCCAAAGGTGAACCGTTGAGCAGAAAGAAGATGCTGACCAGCTCCATTGGTGTCAATCCAAACATTGTAGCCCTGTGTTTCAAGGGAAGCCAACCATTCTTCAACTGATGCAAAGCCATCGGTGTCTTTGGTATAGTGTTCCTGTCGATACTTATAGAATATATTATAAACATCGACAGAATTGACGTAGGAATCCCGTTGGTTTGCATCCAGATGCCCAAGCGTGCGTTGTAAGTGGCTGCGGATTTCACGGACGTTGTACCCTTTACGCAATTCGACGAGTATCTTTTCCTTGAGCTCGTCAGATGCAGGAAGGTACTGAACATCTTCAACGGTGCCAGGTCTATGCCCAGTATGCTGACCTTTGTACTCGAATCGCGCAGTTGTTGGGTCTTCAACGTCTACCTTGATCGAAAGCTTAGCACCGCATCCAACTTGCTTAAACTTTTTCTGGATTGGCCGACGACGGATGTTATCATCGGTCTCTTCATCAGAATCATCATCCGAGTCAACGTCAGGATTACGCCCTTCTAGATCGCCATCTTGCTGTGGTTTTGCATAATCTCTACGATGGCAAAAGTATCTGATTGTCTTGATGTTTTCGATGCCCTATTTCTTTTGTTGATAGGCTCGCTGTTTTCCTGAGCAGCAGCTGCTTGTGCCAATTTTTGCTCTATATGGCGTTGCATAAAATAAAGAATCATAATAAGCACCAAATCAATGGCATATTTCTAAGCATTCGCTCATTATTCATACCCTTTGCTTTAGCAGGGTAATAGGTGGAATGATATATCCAAGATTCACCAGTGGCATAGGGTTACTGCGCGAGTATCTCTTCATACTCATCGATGTGGCTTGAGATAGGACGCGCAGCAGAGTTAAAGGTAGAAATAACTGCTTCGCTAAGAGTAGCAGCAGTAGTAGTGCCGCTGTTGGTGGTAGTAATGGCGGATGTATTTGTGGACATGTCAGTGCTAATGGCGAATGGCGAATGCGAGATCGGAAAGTAAAGCGTTTAGAATTACCAAAGAGAAAAAGAATTCAGGTACAACTGTTTATTTAAATATCATAGTGACACGAACAGACATATCTCGCTTTTTGATATAGGACACACTCTATATAATGGCAACACATAGAACATATAGGCATAAACAAAACATCAACTTTTATGAAGTAAAACTCTCTCTCCACATACCAACCATGATATCATACTCCCGATCATACGTATACAGTTTCACCCAGTAGTCCAACTTATCTCAACCTGAGGTCCCACCAAGTCTCACCAGGACCAGTGGGTCCTAAATTTATACACGTTTATGTGAGCATAATACCCCTGGTCGAGGAGCAAATATGTACATATTTTGGATTGTGGGGTCCCACTAACTGTTAGTTGGCGGTGGTTGCTTTATTCTGTATTGCTTGTCTGTCAAGATCTAAATGACATGTTCAATGATGTCAGTGACGAGTACATTTAACACTTAAGGTTCTCCATTTAAAAACAAATCACTATAAATCGCATGTAGTAATGTCTCTTTCCGGGTTTTACAATACGTTTAATACCGTTTTAATCTCTTTATTTCCAATATCAATATAGCGATATGGTGATTAAATATGACAACTAAATATATATAGAAAAAGTGCTATAGTTCTGCTTCCATCCATTTTTCAACGTGTTTGCTCATCCAATCCAACGATTTGTTGTTTAGATTAACTCTCTCTTATTCGATTCTGTACTTGGCCTCGTCCTCGGTGATGGCTTTCTCCTGTGCATATCGCTTGATGCCTTGGATGTTTATTTTGCGACGGTTGACGAACTTGGAATCATCCCTGCGCCATTGCGTGCCCCACCGTAACTCGAGGCTCCCTACAGATGGGGCACCACCTAAACCTTCATGCCATTCACGCCACAAGTCGTGGATGGTATGGATGCCACAGCTCATGCGGTAGTTTGGCGGTGTATCCAGTTGTTGCTGTGCAGGAGAAAACGGTGTTGCAGTGGAAGGGCCTGTGATAACTGCAGTAGATGCATCAGTGGGAGCAGAAGGAGAAGGACCAGTAGATGTATATGGCGGCTGGTGTGCGTGGAGTTGCATAGTTAAAGGAATCTGCCTAGATGTCAAATCCCATAAGTACTGTTGAGTAGCTTGGGATTGTTGCTCAACAGCCAAAGTAAGTGCAGCAATCTTCGCTGATACATCAGTATGTATGGTACAGACAGAATCATGTAAATGGGGCATAGCCATTTGGAGTGTCAGCTCTTAGGGTCTAGGCGCCTCGCTGACAGCACTTGTCACAGCTCTAGATACGATAGGTAAACAAATCAATAAGTATACTTTAATGCAACACGAGCAATATCGACCAGCTTTATAAATCACTAACCCTTTAAATTCCAAGTAATGTGTATCATTGAACATGGAAGCGTTCCAAATGGAAAGACCTGGATGGCGTTGTTGCATTAAAACTGAATCATGTAGAAATGTGACACGCAAAACACGCAACATCTTCAGAAATCCATCTGCCGCCATCGTACTATCGCCTTCGTTCTGATCTATCCTTTCTTGCCATTGTTCAATCCAAGGGAAGATTCTGCGGCAGAGTTCTGGCGAAGGCTTCACAATGTCACGTGGGAGGTAAAAGCGACCACCATCTGGAGAAAAATCAGCCATAGTTCGTAGCAATCTTCAAGGGAGGTTTGTCAGATATGATCCTTCCATGGAATCACCTGTCCAGCGACCAGCTCGACGGATATCCGAGTCACCAGCACCTCCAATATCCGCCATTTTCGAACCCGATTTTCGTCTAGCGTGTGTCTTGGCTTTGCTACGAATACCGGCATGCTTGAAAGCATTGTCAATGGCCTTATAGTGCGCAGCAGGGGTGATCGCTGAGGTCAAATCGTTAGGTTTGGACTTGCATAGCTTGATATCATACCAAGTCTTGGGCTCAGTCATGTCCGGAAATCGTTCGCCTTCGACGTGCCAACGT